TTATTACTTTGAGATACGTTCCATCGATACCGAGTTTATTGAGGGTTTTTAGCATAAAGGGCTGTTGAATTTTGTGAAATGCCTTCTCTGCGTCAATTGAGATGATCATGTGGTTTTTGTTTTTGGTTCTGTTTATGTGGTGAATTACGTTGATAGACTTGCGTATGTTGAACCAGCCTTGCATCCCCGGGATGAATCCTACTTGATCATGGTGAATAAGTTTTTTGATTTGCTGTTGCATTCGGCTTGCCAATATTTTATTGAAGATTTTTGCATCTATGTTCATCATGGATATTGGCCTGAAGTTTTCTTTTCTTGTTGGGTCTCTGCCGGGTTTTGGTATCAGAATGATGTTGGTCTCATAAAATGATTTGGGAAGTATTCCCTCTTTTTGGATTGTTTGAAATAGTTTTAGAAGGAATGGTACCAGCTCCTCCTTGTGTGTCTGGTAGAATTCGGCTGTGAACCCGTCTGGACCTGGGCTTTTTTTGTGTGGTAGGCTCTTAATTGCTGCCTCGACTTCAGAGCTTGTTATTGGTCTATTCATAGTTTCAGCTTCCTTCTGGTTTAGGCTTGGGAGGACACAGGAGTCCAGGAATTTATCCATTTCTTCCAGGTTTACTAATTTATGTGCATAGAGTTGTTTGTAATATTCTCTGATGATGGTTTGTATTTCTGTGAAATCTGTGGTGATTTCCCCTTTATCATTTTTTATTGCATCTATTTGGTTTTTCTCTCTTTTCTTTTCAATCAATCTGGCTAGCGGTCTGTCTATTTTGTTGATCTTTTCAAAAAACCAGCTCTTGGATTTATTGATTTTTTGAAGGGTTTTTCGTGTCTCAATCTCCTTAAGCTCAGCTCTGATCTTAGTTATTTCTTGTCTTCTGCTGGGTTTTGAGTTTTTTTGATCTTGCTCCTCTAGCTCTTTCAATTTTGAGGATAGGGTGTCAATTTTGGATCTCTCCATTCTCCTCATATGGGCACTTATTGCTATATACTTTCCTCTAGAGACTGCTTTACATGTGTCCCAGAGGTTCTGGCATGTTGTGTCTTCGTTCTCATTGGTTTCAAAGAACTTCTTTATTTCTGCCTTCATTTCATTGTTTACCCAGTCAACATTCAAGAGCCAGTTGTTCAGTTTCCATGAAGCTGTGTGGTTCTGGGTTGGTTTCTGTATTCTGAGTTCTAACTTGATTGCACTATGGTCTGAGAGGCTGTTTGTTATGATTCAGTTGTTTTGCATTTGTTGAGCAGTGCTTTACTTCCAATTATGTGGTCAATTTTTGAGTAGGTGTGATGTGGTGCTGAGAAGAATGTATATTCTGTGGATTTGGGGTGGAGAGTTCTGTAAATGTCTATCAGGTTTGCTTGCTCCAGGTCTGAGTTCAAGCCCTGGATATCCTTGTTGATTTTCTGTCTGGTTGATCTGTCTAATATTGACAGTGGAGTGTTAAAGTCTCCCACTATTATTGTGTGGGAGTCTAAGTCTCTTTGTAAGTCATTAAGAACTTGCCTTATGTATCTGGGTGCTCCTGCATTGGGTCCATATATGCTTAGGATCGTTAGCTCTTCTTGTTTTATTGATCCTTTTACCATTATGTAATGGCCTTCTTTGTCTCTTTTGATCTTTGTTGCTTTAAAGTCTATTTTATCAGAAATGAGAATTGCAACTCCTGCTTTTTTTTGCTCTCCATTTGCTTGGTAAATCTTCCTCCATCCCTTTATTTTGAGCCTTTGTGTATCCTTGCATGTGAGATGGGTTTTCTGGATACAGCACACTGATGGGTTTTGGATTTTTATCCAATTTGCCAGTCTGTGTCTTTTGATTGGTGCATTTAGTCCATTTACATTTAGGGTTAATATTGTTATGTGTGAATTTGATACTGCCATTTTGATGTTAAGTGGCTGTTTTGCCTGTTAGTTGTTGTAGATTCTTCATTCTGTTGATGCTCTTTAGCATTTAGTGTGATTTTGGAATGGCTGGTACTGGTTGTTCCTTTCTATGTGTAGTGCCTCCTTTAGGAGCTCTTGTAAAGCAGGCCTGGTGGTGGCAAAATCTCTGAGTACTTGCTTGTTCGCAAAGGATTTTATTTTTTCTTCACTTCTGAAGCTCAGTTTGGCTGGATATGAAATTCTGGGTTGAAAGTTCTTTTCTTTAAGAATGTTGAATATTGGCCCCCACTCTCTTCTGGCTTGTAGTGTTTCTGCCGAGAGATCTGCTGTGAGTCTGATGGGCTTCCCTTTGTGGGTAACTCGACCTTTCTCTCTGGCTGCCCTTAGTTTTTTCTCCTTTATTTCAACCTTGTTGAATCTGACGATTATGTGCCTTGGGGTTGCTCTTCTTGCAGAATATATTTGTGGTGTTCTCTGTATTTCCTGCATTTGAGTGTTAGCCTGTCTTGCTAGGTGGGGGAAGTTTTCCTGGATGATGTCCTGAAGAGTATTTTCCAGCTTGGATTCATTCTCTTCGTCCCCTTCTGGTACACCTATCAAACGTAGGTTAGGTCTTTTCACATAGTCCCACATTTCTTGGAGACTTTGTTCATTCCTTTTTGCGCTTTTTTCTCTAATCTTGGTTTCTCGTTTAATTTCATTGAGTCGGTCTTCGACTTCAGATATTCTTTCTTCTGCTTGGTCAATTCGGCTATTGAAACTTGTGCATGCTTCGCAAAGTTCTCGTATTGTGTTTTTCGGCTCCTTTAATTCATTCATATTCCTCTCTAAGTTATCCATTCTTGTTATCATTTACTCATATCTTTTTTTAAGTTCCTTAGTTTCTTTGCATTGATTTAATACATGTTCTTTTAGCTCACAAAAGTTTCTCATTATCCACCTTCTGAAGTCTAATTCCATCATTTCGTCACAGTCATTCTCCGTCCAGCTTTGTTCCCTTGCTGGTGAGGAGTTTTGGTCCTTTCTAGGAGGCGAGGTGTTCTGGTTTCGGGTGTTTTCCTCCTTTTTTCACTGGTTTCTTCCCATCTTTGTGGGTTTATCCGCTTGTCGTCTGCGTAGTTGCTGACTTTTCGATTGGGTCTCTGAGTGGACACCCAGATTGTTGATGATGAAGTATTTCTGTTACTTGGTTTTCCTTCTACCAGCCTAGCCCCTTCACTGTATGACTGCTGAGGTCCACTCTAGGCCCTGCTTGTCTGGGGTGCACCTCTAGCAGCTGTGGCACAGCGAAGGATGCTACCCGTTTCTTTTTCTGCTATCTTTGTCCCAGGATGATGCCTGCCAAATGTCAGTCTTTTGGATATAGAGGGGTCAGGGAGCTGCTTGAGGAGACAGTCTGTTCTTTTTAGGAGCTCAATTTCTGAGCTGTGAGCTCTGTTGTTCATTCAGGGCTGTTAGGCTGCTATGTTTGATTCTGCTGCAACAGAGCTCATTAAAAAAACCCTTTTTTTCTCAAATGCTCTTTGTCGGGGGGTTCAGGCTTTATTTTTCGATGTTCTTTGAGGTGTCCTGCCCAGCTAGGAGGCAGACTAGCCACTGTTTGCCTGCCGAGACTCCGCCCTGCTGTTGTGTGTTTCGCCCTGTTCCTGCAGGCTCTGCTGTGGTCTCCGCCACACCCTGCGGCGGAATCTCTTCGTTGTAGCGTGTTGCCTCGGCAACGGCAGGCTGCGTCAGCAGTGGGCATGTATCTCAGTAGGGACGGGTTGCCTCGGCAACGGGAGGCTGCGTCCGCAGTGGGCGTGTATCTCAGTAGGGACGGGTTGCCTCGGCAACGGCTGGCTGCATCAGCAGTGGGCGTGTATCTCAGTTGGGGCGGGTTGCCTCGGTAGTGGTGGACGCCCCTCCCCCACAGAGCGTTTCGGACCGTCTGCTCGGGATAGTTTGAAATCGCTGTTTTGTTCGTCCCACTGGGTATCCCGAACGCTCTGTCCCTGCAATACCCTGGGCTGGCCTACTGTCCAAGTCTCGTTCAGTCTCAAGTCCAGCCCTCTCAAGTCTCAGGTTGCCGGTTCAACAGGGCACCCAGACAAGCGTGCCCTGTGGGGATTGCTGGGTAGGGCCGGTTGCCGCCGCCCCGGCTGCCGGCTTCGCCAGGCAGACTTACTGCCTGGCATCCCGTGTCTTTTCTATACTTGGGAGTTTCCCCGTTCTGTGGGCAACAAAGATAAGTCTATAAATGCAGCTCGGACTCACCTCTTTGTGGATTCAACTAGAGCTCCAATCCTGGGTTGTTCTCACAGCGCCATCTTGAGTCCTCCCTGACAATTAAATTTAATGCACAGGTATGTAGTTGTGCTTAGTAACGTTAATTCCCTTCTGCTTCCTTATTCGTAATATTTTTCTTACCTTACTGGTCCCTCTTATTGCCCTATTTTATAAGTTCTTTTATTCGGGGCTAAATTCAAAATGTCAATTCTTTAGAAAAGCTTGCAATATACTCTGGTACCATGTCTGCAATTACAGACTCAAATTTCCTTAAGCTTTTTCTCTTAGCCAATGGCATTTTCTGTTCTCAGTTTATGGCTCTATTTAATATTTTCTTCTAAACCATGGTATCCAAAAGGGCAGAATTTGTATCTGATTCATCTTTGAACTTCCAAAGCCATCGAGCAGTACTCATATATATGTGGTCCTGAGTATATTTATATCTATGTGTGCTTATGCCTGTACATGTATTGATCTGTATCCATGTGTGTGTATACGTAGGTATGTCAGTGTCCTCCTTGTCCTCTAGCTTTCTCTTGGATATGGCCAATGAATATGTATAAAGAAATGAAATGGAATTTTCTTTTTCTTAAATCTAACTTTTGATTACCTAACATACTTTTAACATAAGCCATCTGATTATAAAAGATCTTTAAAAATTAAATTTCAGCAAAAACTTTTTATACTTATGATTCATGATAGTTGTAAACACTTGACTGAAGTAAGCTCAGGTGACCTACAAAAAACAAATTCACACATGGCTTCTGATAATTTGGGCCTATACAGTAGACTCTGTTATTCTTGTGAGTTTCATTTATATACTTTGGTGTGTTTTTTTTTAGATTAAAAAGTCTTACTAATATGAGTATAAATTATAACCAACTAGCCAGCATTCCTAGAGAACTTTGTTTTCTTGAGAATCTTTCTGAACTTCAACTTAACTACAATCAGCTAATATGCATACCTGAAGAGATTAAGTTCTTGAAGAAGCTTCAGAAACTTTTGCTGGCCAGAAACAACATTGGAGTTTTGCCAAAGGTGAGCAAAACATGGAACCATACTATTGTGTTGTTGGAGAAGAACTCAACATGAGGGGAGGTGGTTATAGATTAGATTTTGGTACCTGAGTTTAAGCCACCACTTGCTTTTCCTCAGATTAAATGTAGTCATTACCCACATCCCTATGATAAAGGAAGGCTGTAATTTGAATTATCCCACCTAGCTAGGGCTGTCAGATTTAATAAATACAAATATAGAATGCTCACTTAAATTTGAATTCCAGATAAGCAATGATAAAATTTTTTACTGTAAATATGTTGCTAATACTTCATGGAATATACTAAAAATCCTATTTATTGTTTGATATTTGAGTTTAATTGAGCATTATATCTGGTAACCAGGTATACAGAACAAAATACAAGTTCATTTTGGCTTTGGAGTATGTACTGGCTCTCTTCGCTTTTTCCTTCATATTCACTGTCCACCTTGCCTTCTGCTTGGGAGATTGGCCTATGTGGGCATCAGTGAACTCTTTGTCCTCTGGTTTCCTCTTGGATATGGCAGATGAGAGGCACTGGCAGGAAGTGACGTGCAGAAGGATTGTAAGTAGTTGATGATATTCCCATGGTACCTTCTCTGACAGGGTACTGTGGGTTGGCTGTGTGCCTTTCTGGAAAGCCACAACTAGTGAACTAATAATATATTTAGATAGATAGATAACATGGGATTTATTAAGGGAATTGACACACATAATTTTGGAGACTGAGAAGTCCTATAGCAGGCTATCTGCAAGTTGAAGACCCTGGAGTGCTGGTAGTGTGGCTGAGTCCAACTCTAAAAGCCTCAGAACCAGGGTAGCCAACGGTGCAGTTCTTAGTTGGAGGTCAAAGGCCTGAGAACAGGGAGGTTGTGGTGGTGGTACTGGTATAAATCTTAAAGTCTAAAGGCTGGAGAGCCTGGAGGTCTGAGGTCCAAGGGCAAGGAAGTGTCCCAGCTCCAGGCGAAAGAGGAAATCACATTTTTTTTTCTATCCAGGTCACTAACAACAACACTGAAGACTAATCTTTCCTACTCCTTCTACTGACTCACATACCCATCTCCTCTGGAAACAGCCTCACAGACACACCCAAAACAAAGGTTTACTGGCATTCTAGGTATTAGTTAATCCAGTCAAGTCGACACCTAAAATTAACCATCACACTAGACTTCTTATAGTTCTATCCCAAACAACTGTTTGCTCTTAATGGAACATTATTTGTTTTAAAGAACTAAGAATCTCAGCTTAAACTTCACTTTTTCTAGGAAGCCTCTTCTGACCTCCTAATACCAAATTTTCCATGTATCACCATTTCCCTGACCCTTCCTAACACTTTTTATTCTCATAGCACAACTTTGTCATTGCCTATTTGTGAATTTTTAAATCTTCATTGAATATTTGTGAGGGGTATACACATGCAAAGATTAGAAAAAGACACAGCAACAGGTATCAACAGCAATAATAGTGGCAGTCATGGCAGCAAAAACAAATGAAAATGAAAGAGTCAACGGCAACGGAAGTAATACAATCAAGTGTTTTCAAGTAGGGTGAGAAGCCCTTATATCATAACGTGAGATACTGAAGGAACACATTGGAGTCTCAAAATCTCTGTAGCTCATATAATACAAAAGAGAGTATCATGGCAATGGAAGACTATATAGGTCTTAGGAAGAGGACTATGTGCATGGTAAAGGGCTCCCTTCAAGCACTTGCTGCCTAGCTGTAGCGAATGGGGATTTTAGACAGCCTCCAGCTGTTAGCTCTTTCGGAGTCTGCCTTAGCTGCAGAGAGCCTCTTTTCTTGCCTAAGGTCACATGCTCTTTCTGAAGCATTCTGGATCCTGTGACCAAACAAGGGAGGCATATAAAGACTTGGCCATTTCTGCCTGATGGAGAATAATTTGGATGGGCAGTAGCCCTCTGGAGCTCCCCACCCACCTACAAAAGATTCTATTATGTCTGAATTCTACCTCAACTTCCCCATCTGCTCAGTCCTGCTTCCTGACCCTGCCTTTTACAGGGGTGTCCTTAATAAAAATTTAGTACCTCAAGTTCCATCTCAGCATCTGCTTCCAGAGAATGAAACCTGTGATAACATGTGATAAAACTGAGGAGGAAGAGTATTGGCATGACTGAAGAGGCATATTATCTCCCTAGGAAGAAGTTTGATCATCAATATATGAGTGATGTTTTAGAAATATAAGAAAAATAAGTGGTTGGGACTGTTTAGTAAGTCATACCTCTGGTTTTTAATTAAAAAAATTTTTTTTTGTTTCTACTTAAAGAGAAATACTACTTATCCTTTGCTTACTAGTAGAAATACCAGAACCCAGATGCATCATAACAACTGTGTGGTTACCATGGTAATGAACAGTCACATTGGGCATATAGATAAAGACAGTAACAGATTTTATTTATTTTGTAAGGAAAGGATTGTGTTAGCATAGGGCTAAGCAAAAGGTAGTTGCTTAGTAAATCCTGGTGGAATTTTCAATAGAGACAATATTCCAGGGTTACATCTGTTTTCTGTTTCTCAAAGTCTCTATTTTATTAATTGGTAATTTCTATTGAGTGCTCACGGCCTAGTAGGCCTTTAGTAAGCACTTTCAGGTTCATAACTCATTTAATCCATTCAACAACCATATGACGTAAGGGCTTCTACTAGCATTTTCATTTTACAAATGAAGAAATTGAAGTACAAAGAAATTAAAAAATTTGCCCATAGTTGTAGTACCTGCCAGAGTTGAGATTTAAATCTAGAAGTAGCGTAACTCACAGTGGCCATGTTGTGTTGCCCTGGAGTGGCTAGAGGAAATGAAGAATTCAAAGATGTCTGGCAGTCCAGAATATGGGAATCTGCTCAGGAAGATGTACTGAATAATTGGTCAGGTGACTGGAACAGATAGCCACCTTTATCATGTTTGAGTTTAAAAAAGAAATTGTGATTTTCTTTATGATTTTAATATTAGATTTTAAAAGTATCTCTCCCTTCTGTTTTCTGACACAGGAACTTTGTGATCTTAAAAAACTCAGAATCTTAGACATAGCAGGAAATATTATTCAGATATTTCCATCAGGAGTAAGTATAATCAACTTCTATTATAATTGAAAAATAATTTTGTTTATGCTATTGGGAATAGAAAAAAATATGGGCAGATGGTAAAACCTGTAGTAATTGGAACCTTAAATTATACAAATGACTCAAAGATTTGCTTCGTTTTAGAATTTCAAAACCTGTTCTCTCCTGTTTTTTGTGTTCTGTGCCTGCTGAACTTGTTTGAACTAAGTGAACTCTGGTTTCTATCATAAATATTTTAATATATCAGCTCTGATTAAATTTTTTAGTTATTATATACTGCTTTTGGTCACCTCTGACTTTTTGAAAATATTACTTTTCAGAGCATAAATTTTTATCCCTTGTAATTAATCCAAACGTGACACTTTTGTTCGTTGTTTTTAAGCCATAAACAGTGAAAAATGTTCTTTTTTTCTCATTTGAAAATGAATTTTGACCTCGTTTTATTTCAAATACTGAGTAAGAGTTTGTCTTAGCAACTCCCAACTTTTGAGAAAGAAATGTCACTTTTTCCTATTGCATTTTTAGATCCAAGTGAACATGCTTGAACATTCAAGGTAATAATTAGAAGTCTATCCAGAAGGTATTCAATGAATAGTTGTTGACCCATTAATTATTTTTCCTGACTGATCAGTACTCTAAATTGAGGTTTCAGTATTTTTTTTACCTCCTAGAGCAATATTTTATACTGAAGGTAATTCAAATATAAAAAAGTGAGTATAAAGTCTATATTTTAGGAAAACTTATATAGTTTTTAAATTGTGGCAAAATATACACAACATAAAATGTACATTCTCCCACTGAAACTCTCTATCCATTCAACTCTAGCTCCCCATTCCCTTTGTACACCTATTTTAGAAGTTTCTGTAAATACTTTGAAATAAGATATTTCCCCCCTCCATGGCAACCTACTATATGTCTCTGAATTTGACTACTGTAGGTACCTAGAGTAGTGTAAGTGGAACCAGATATTTGTCCTTTATCACTGACTTATTTCACTTAGTAAAATACTATTAACATTCTTCCATCTTATAGCACGTGTCAGAGTTTCCTTCCTTTCAAAGGCTAAATAATATTCAGTTACATGTATATATTACATTTTGTCTATCCACAGGTATCTGCCCACCTATGGGACCTTGGGCTGTTTTCTCATTTTGGCTATTGCTGCTATGAGCATGAGTAAACAAACTTTGTTCTTTACTTTCAGTTCCTCTGGGAATATACTCAGATAAAATTGTTGAGTCATATGGTAATTCTATGTTTAATTTTTTAAGGAATCACCACAGTGTTTCCAAAATGTATAGATTTGAATGTTTAGTACAAATTGGATATTGCTAATATTGACCTTGAAAATGTGACATGATTTTACTTATCCTCTGGTTCTTAATTTAACTCTCTATGTCCTATGATGCCTCCTTGACTTCCAAAACAGCCTTTTGGTGCCACTATCTTGGTATCTTCTATGATACCACTGGTGCCACTGCTACTTCTATGGTACCTTCTTGTGCCACTTTTTCTGTGGTATTTCAGTGATATGGTTGGGCAACATAACGGAGTAATTCATTTTAAGTCTTTCTTGCCCTTGGATGGTAAGCTTACAGAGAAAGAATACTCTTTTTTACAAATTAGTAATGTTTTTTTTTTTGAAATTCACATGGTTTTTGAACATTTGAAACTATATTTTCGCCAGGATTTTTCTATAAACACTTTCCTTAAATGAATATTCTTCAATTATATGATTTTTAATCACTGGATGTTCTTCTACCTTTTCTTTATAATATGTTCACTTTTTCTAACATTTTTATTTATTGCCGGAATTAGAATTGGATCTTGAATGAACAAGCTTTTGAGAACAAGGATGATCTGAAATAAACCGTCTTTTATTTGTATCTTTCTTTAAAAGAATAATATTTCTGAAGTATGGCCTTTAGTAGACAGTGGACAATCTATGGTAACACTGCTGGTTGTTCAGTTAGTGCAAGAAACAGCGATGCTTGTGTTTCCTAGGGTTGCTATAGCTAAGTATCATAAACCGGGGCTTAAAGGAGCATGTCTTTGTTTTCTCTTCTTAGAATGATACCAATCCTTGGATTGTGGACCACTGTAATCCAGTATGACCTCATTTTAACTAATTGCATCTGCAAAGACTCTGTTTCCAAATAAATTCACACTCTAAGATTCAGAGTGGATATGACTCTTGGAGGACACTATTTAACCCACTATACTTTGAGAGAACATTGACTTTGTTACTCTATTTAGTGTCTGCTAGGACAATTGATATTAATATCATTGATGAGGTTTATATGACATTCCAATTTCATAAACACTGAGTACCTTCTCTGTCACCAAGCTTTCTTCTAATCTGGGGAAGCAGGTGAACAAATATGGATGTTACTGTCTAGAAACTTCGGAATTTGTGTTTGAAGAAATCTCTAAACATTGAAGTGGACCCTGGAGATATAAGAACAAGATAAATACATGATTTTTAATGACTGACATAAATTTAAAATTAGAAAAATCAAAGAAACTGGCATTAATTAGCTTGAACAAAGAAGCGAGTCAGTAGGTGGTAATTTCATTGCTGAGTTCAAAATACTAAGGAGAAAGTGGCCTGTTGCCTTCATAACTTTTGACAATGGGTCAAGAAAAAACTTATTCTTTTATTTGCAGCTAAAGGGATAGACTATCATCATGGGATTTCTGGGAAGAAAGGATTACTAATCTCTTTCTGTAGGGCAGAAAACTTGGTCTCTTAAGTAGTTGTGATTCAGTCTTTTCAGCAGAAAAAAAAGCAAATTACTGAAATTTTATAGTTTCTTTGAAACAATTTTAAAAAAATCTTTTTATCACAGGTCTTCTTTCTCTGGATCCTCTTTCTCTCAGGAGCCCAGTTATTTTTCAAATTGCAATCATTTGAAGAGAAAGATGACCTGACAAAAGTGAGAAAAAGTTTTAATGATTATCACCAGGGGGCATCATGAGGTTTGTCTTTGATGTGAAGTTTAGAGCAAAATATCATATATAAAACATTGCAGACAAAACAGAAAACTTCACATTTCAGTAAGCTCTTGGTTAGAATCCTCCATTAGCAATCTATCTGAGGACCTGTAGTATTATGACTACTTTCCAAATTCACGAATAGTGTCCAAAGTTATCTTTCAGGATCAATACTTTGCCATTATCTAGAAATTTGCAAGTTACCAAATCTCTCTGATATTGAATAATCCCTTGAAGAAGACAGATTTGTTATCATTATTCCCATTTGGAGCTGAGGATATTGAGGCTCTAGAGAAGCAGTTTGTCTGTAGCAGTGACCCTCAAATTTGAGTGTGCATCTGAATCCCCTGGATGGCTTTTTAAAACCCAGAAGGCTAGGCCCTCACTCTAGGGTTCTGAGTCAGTAGGTTGGGGATCCCACAGGTTTGCATTTCTATTATTTTCTTGGTTAATGCTGAGGCTGTAAGTCTGGGAACCACACTTGGAAAACCATTGCCCTGAAGGATGGAACAGTAGCAGAGCTTGAACTTTTCGCTACACTCTACGGACTCCCACGGCCTCTGAGGAATCCGTTCTTTGTCTCAGGTTGGGACAGTCCCTGTTATGCTGTACAAATAAGGCCTTTCTTTACGCTCTCTGGGAGTCTGGGTTCTGAGAATTTCACTGTGTCCTTGACTAAAATGATACTCAAGGAACATTCTTTGGGCAATAGAATTCTCGTATACTCTGAAAAATATTTCACGTAGAAAGTAGGATTTTGGTATGTGAACACAAGGAATGCCTATATGGTTGGGGGCTGAGTTTTATATGTTGTTTAATTTGGCTAGCCTTACTTCTTTTGGGCCATACTGTGGATGTACTCGGTGCATATATGCCATTAACGAAACTTCTTGAACATTTATTCATTAGCCAATCTAAAAATTAGAGAGATTTTATTAGCATGTGAATTTAACACTAAATTTTATTTTGGAGAAATTTGGGGAAGGCCAAATCTTTACCATGTTACTTTCATTTCTGAATTTGGTCTTTATAAAGGTCCCCCTTTGCATTGGGTGGTTATAGTTTGGAAGTGAAACTCAAGTGTAGCTAAAACATTTACAAGGATACAGATAAATGTGACAGCTTATGAGAAAGTGCTTTCTTAAGAGTAGACACTTAAGAAATGTGCTTAAAAAGATGTAAATTATACCCAATGCTACATTTTCCACAGTTGCTGCTTTCTTTCCATTTCAAAGTCATGATATTAACATTCATGTGAATCTGTAGCTCCTATAAACACATTCTGTGTCAAAGTTAAGAATCTTAAGTATTTGTATATCCCTAAGGTTTGTAGGCACACGCTGTTTTTATAAGAAAGAGGGAAAGCCTCATGCAGTGATGTTGTCATGAGAAAAATTATTCTTGGACTATTTATGGGAAATCATAGTTATAGCACCTATTCCATTTCATCAATGCCCCTTTTTTTCCTTCAAGAATTCTTTAGAGTTATCATAAATCAAATTTGAGAATAGTGGAAGCAGTTTCCTCTTTTACAGTATGGGAAACACAGGAGGAAAAAATATGGAAGCAACTTTCCTAGAAACACAAATCATTAGAATAGTGAGGAGAAGATTTGAATCTATTGTTCCCAAACAAAAATTAAATTTGCCTAGCTTAGCAGTGTACCCATTGTGTGACATTGGACAGGTCTTGTATCATCACATTGCTAGGAAAGTGTCTCACACAACAGTTGGTGGTTAGTAATGATAGAATGAGTGAATGATTAAATGAGATAATGTATATGAATTGTTATTAGTGTTTGGAACATGATAGATATTGAATGTTGTTTTCTTGTCATTTTAAGGTTTGGTCTGAGATACCTCCTCTTAAATCCACCCCAAATTTAGGGTTATCTCTGAAGGCTTTCAAAGCCATGAGATAACCTGAATGATTCTAACTTGCAACTGTTTAGGTAACCAACTGATCTTTACCCAAGGGTGTACAAGAGTGGCTAGTTTCAGCAGTAC